GCATGAAATGTTATTCGGTTTCCTTCAATTTTTCTATAAATACATTATTGTAATAATTTTTTTAAAAATAGTCCGCCGACCTAGACGTACATTTAGGATATGAACAGTTTCTCAAGAACAGGGTACCAGAAAAGTCTCTGCACAGTGGCGCCTTGCTGATGAGAGTGCTAGCAACAGTAAGTATGTTTGTAGCACGAGCATCCAGCTTCCATTTGTAACAAAAGAAAACTTGAATTGAGTATTCATCACAATTAAAACTGATGTTGGAACTGTTGTTCCTTTCATTTGTCTCTAAGTGATCTGTTACTAACATTCATACAATTTTTAACAGGAGTCCTTGACCCAGCTTGGTGCGGAGAGACTTTTGTGGCACACATTAGAAGGAAGGTAGGTCAAATTAGAATAGGTCTTTCCTATTCAAATAAACATTTGTTTGTTGCTAAATAGAAATTGAGTTATAGTTCTAACCTCAGACTCACCTAAAGGAACTAATAAACTAGCGCACGCACACACGCGCAGATACATACGCACACACACACATACATACGAACACACACTCGAGAAATTCGGAAAACGAAACAGAACGTAATACAAAACAAGGGCAACGAAATCAATTGATTACTAATTTCTTGAAGTCTGAACCAGAACAGAATTGAAAAACGTACGTCTACAATTCCGTTTGTTACCTAATTATTTAGTTTTACGAATAAATATATACCTAAGACACTTCTCGTGCGCACTGCCAAATATTTTGATAAAAATAATTTTTCTCCTGTCTTATAAGGAATTCAAAAATTGTTGAGCCTAATATAGAGATATAAAGTTGAATTTGAATACATTCATTTCTTGAAAAATGGAATTTTGTGGAGATACTTCATTTTGAAAATAAGTATTCAATTGCAGAAAGGCAGTGCTAGTGACAGAAGTAAAAATGTCTAAAATTTGAGGTGGTTTTCAAAAATGTAGGGCAGAAAGTAGAATCCAAACAAACAGACCGCAGAGCTCACATTTCCCACGAAACACGAATAATAGCCGATCACCTTAGGCGCAAATCTCTAAGACGTGTAAATTTCACCCTTCTCTTCAAAAGGTTTTCATATAAATATTATTTCTTTTTGTTACTTTTCACGTGTTTCACGCTTGCAGAGTAATGCTCTATATGTTTTCACGTACACTTCACACTCTTTTCGCATCAGAGATGATTGATGATCCTATTCCTTTAAAGCACAAAATTATATTTACAATGGGAGAAACCCGTAACGGATGACGGGATGAAATTAAACTCTCACATTAATGATGAATAAATGCACAATAATTATATTTATTAAAAATAAAATGCAGTGAAAGATTTTTTCATCCATTTCACAATTTCTTTTTGTCCAAATTTTCACACGGCTACTTATTGAACAGGACGGATGCTGATAACTGTAGTGTGTGCAAGATCCCTCTTTCAGTAGAACATTTGTTTGTTTGCCCTGAATATGAAAGTGTAAGAAACAAGTACAAACTAAGTTCTCTTAAAGATGTCAATAACAAAGAACAGAGCATTAAATTAATTTGCTTTGTAAACGAAATTGAAATGTATAACAATATATAACCATATATGTAAAATTCTAAGTTAGTGTGTTATTTTGTACTGATTGTGTATTATTAAGGTAGTCGCTAATAGTTCTATGTAGTTGATGCGACTGTAAATAAATCAAAGCAAATCAAAGCAAATCTTTTTGTCCAAATTTTCGTCGTCAAATTGTTTTGCAAAACACTCTCATTAACAGAACCGTGCTTAGTCTACAGCATCACAAATTAGTACAAATATAAACACCTATTATTGTTATTTTTATTGTCCCGAGCCGCAATACAAAATCAAGAAAGCCGCAAATGAGAATCAGATTAGGGAAGCCTTCCTGATGCTGCTGAATTTCGCAATTTGCCCAACTCCCAAACTCTCTCCTCCTGCCCTTCTCTAATCCCAAAATCACCCCAACTGCCTAATTAAGCGCCGCAAAAACTACCGATTTGTACCGTTAGATTCGTTCAGAATACCACTTTTTGTAGCGGCTCGGTCGGTTTTTAATTTTTATTGCTTTCGAAAAACCTTTTTGCTTTCAATCATATGTAATAATAACCAAAATCTCCAAGTTTCTGACTTGCTCTACTTACTCGAACTTAACGATACAATATCCGGCTTACTTGGCTCAGGGCATGAAGTGATGACACTGCTGTGCCTCAGACCTGGAGGACATAGGGTTCCAGTCACAGTGGTGGCAGATTTTCGATTCTAGTTATAGCTAGGTCGAATTCAGCGTCTGTATGGGGGAGGATTCTGGCTCGTAGCTCTCCACTCCGCGGCCCCGGGTTCGATTCCCTGTCGAACCAAGACTATAGTGTGGGTTTTCCTTGCAATGTCCCAATATATGTTGCAGTGTGACGATGAGAAAATTCACTTCTCAAGTTGAGAAGATGGCGTGGGGATGTCTACGTGTTAACCACACGTCACCCCTTAACCAATGACCGCGAGGCAGGGACGTCGACGGTAGGCCTGAGCCCGTCCACGGGCTGTTGCGCCAAGTACATACACTCATACATGGAGCAGGATTCTAGCGGCCAGCTGCTCTGTTCGGTATTTTTTCCATGTTTTTCCCAAACACATAAGGTAAATACCGGAGCAGTACTCTAACAAACGGGCCAAGGATCACGCGGTATGTTTCTTATTTGTTCTATCGTCACCCCTTACCTAGGCACACCTACACTTCTACGTACTGCACCACTACACATATTAGGGGCCCAATCGCAGCCTAGAGCTTGCACCGATTGTGGTGGTGTCCCGATGATTGGATGTACTTCGTTGGGGGAAAACCCCGATGGCCTGCATGTAGGAATGCACCGGATCTCGTCAACTAGCAAAGCACCCGTCACCGCCATTTCTGGCCATTTAAACATGCACTTTACTTACGGGCCCAATGCCCTTAGCAGTTTGTGTGCCGGAATAACTAATCAATCAATTTATTAATGATAATAAGAGAAAAGTAATGATATTTTCGTTCAGTGATGGAAGAAAACCTTAACGACGTAGCAATGACATCAGTGGTACGTGCTGAAACATCAACGCTTCATCTAAGTATTGTAAATTAGTAAAACAATTCGCCTAACAATTGACGCAATTGTATTTTTAATTTTTTACTAATACTCTGTAGCTTGTTATTAGGGATTTGTATACTCTCAAACGTTGAAGCACTATAGAACTTCAACGCATGCGCAGTTCAAATTTCACATTCAACAGTGCATCTGAGCATGCGCAGAAGGTACATAGCACTGTATGCTGTGGCGTGCACAAACTCCCTATTGGCTTCGATGTACTTCACTACATAACTTTCAGGAATCGGAAGGATCATTGTTATAAAGTAAATATGAAAACAGTTGAATGATACTAAATGTTTTCTTATGAAGGGAATTATGGGAGATAAATATGAAAAGACGAAACGAGACCGGTTAATAACTAGTTAATTAGTAAATATGTGAATGTAGATAATTGAGATTACATAAAAAATAAAGCAAGGTATGCACCACGGGGGATAACTGGTTCTAATGATCTGGGATGACAATACGCCTCGGGCAAAAGGCATATGGATATGTTGTTGCCGCTCGATCATCAGAAACCTTATTATTGCCCTTGGTGCATACATTTATTAGAGTCACTAACTGATTGATTGTTAGTGAATTCGAGCGCGTCAACTACTAGAATTATTATTCCCGTATGTGTAGTGCATGCTTTTGATCGGGAGGTGGCGATGGTTTTCCCCTGCTGTATGGCGAAATTCGGCGCCAACCTACCGTCGGCCAGCGGGGTTTTACCCAACCAGATATCATCAACTGTCCGTCATCAGTACACGTCTTCAATGCCCGTCCTCGCTGCCCGTCCTCGCTGCCCGTCCTCGCTGCCCGTCCTCGCTGCCCGTCCTCGCTGCCCGTCCTCGCTGCTCGTCCTTCCTGCCCGTCTTCAATGCCCGTCCTCGCTGCTCTTTCTCACTACCCGTCTTCAATGCCCGTTCTCGCTGCCCGTCCTCGCTGCCCGTCCTCGCTGCTCGTCTTCATTGCCCGTCCTCGCTGCCCGTCCTCACTGCTCGTCCTCACTACCCGTCTTCAATGCCCGTTCTCGCTGACCGTCCTCGCTGCTCGTCCTCACTACCCGTCTTCAATGCCCGACCTCGCTGCCCGTCCTCGCTGCCCGTCCTCGCTGCTCGTCCTCACTACCCGTCTTCAATGCCCGTCCTCGCTGCTCGTCCTCACTACCCGTCTAGAATGCCCGTCCTCGCTGCCTCTGCGCCACTTCGAAGCATCCTCACATTCGTCGCCTCCATTTGCACGTCAGGCAGATTCTTTCTTAGTTACGGATATAATATTCGGCGTTTGCATATTCGTACAACCGCAGGATGCCGATATCCCTTCAATCATTCGTACAATATTACTGAGATATAATTGAAGGCACGATGCAGTTGCAGAATAGGAGTGCGTTAAGATCAATAAATGTTTATGATTGCAGACAAAGATCTATAATATAATTATTTATGATAGCCCTTCGATTTCAGGACACCATAAGGAATACAGATGAATGAAACCATGAATAGTAATATAAAAATTTTTTACGATCGTTGAAAAATCGTAATTTTTTATGAGCAAAAAATTGACATTGGCATGATAATGATCAATGATGAGCTATTGAGCTCTAAAAAAATCTCACTCACTATTATGGAAGAACCATTTTTTCACGCATTGAAATAAAAATGATGATCAAGAAACAAGTAAAACGAAGATGCAAAACAAGAAACGAAAGACGATGACGAAAAAGAAGGTTGGGAAGAGAACGAAATGACACGAAAAAAGTCGTAGCACACAAGAATAAGTAGTAACCAAAAGAAAATGAAATCTAAGTCTTAGAGAAAAGGTTTGTACTTTCTTCTTCCCTTCCTCGCTGTTCCTGCCTTTTACAATTCCCGTGCGCGATGCCAGACGTTGATATCGGAGCTCCCGCCGCTGCCGCTGTCGTAGCCGCGCGCGTCCTGGGAAGTGGCTCCCCCGAGGGGATTCCCCAACAGCGCAGCCGCTACAAAAGGCGCCTCAGCGGCGGCTCCGGCATCAGTCGCTCGCAGCCCTCACCGCCCGCAGCGCCCTCCACACGCCGCTCGCCACACACTACGTGAGTAGCTCCAGCGCACCAACAACCTCTCGCTTGCAACCGAAAACAGCATCATTGCTCATATCTGGCCACGGGGTTTAGGGTTCGGGTATGAATTAAACACCATCGAATAATTTTGCTATAAATTAAATACAACAAAACGTCTTAACGAATAATAGAATAACAGTACATACAGATATACATACATACACATTATATAAGGGAGGAAAATATGCTCTTAAGGCAATTTTAAGCATATTATGTCTAATAAACTCCTTGGGTATTCTGAATGGCAGATTCGCAATAGGCACTCAAAATTGGTTTGAAAAAATATTTTGGATGCAAAATGTGTGCATTATAAAAACATATAAACTCATCAAAAATATAAACTGTTTATATTTACAAATAAAAAATTAATAGATTTGTTCACAAAACCAAATTAGTCAGAAAAGATATAAGGAAGTTGTATCGTAAATTGGGTGCTTTTTTTATTTATTTTAAACTGCGAGAGATAAGCTCTTCTTATATTAATTTTGACAAATTAACTTAAAAAAACTTGAAATAAAAATAAGTTAATGAGGGCAAATTATAACTTAAGTAGACGCCACCATTTACATCAAAATTATGACTCAAAATTGTACTCAAGAACAAAAATTGATAGTAGAAAGCACGAAGTTCGTTCTAACCACAAGCCCTTTTCTTTTAAATATGTAACTTCCTCACTAATACCCCACAGAGCTCAAGCAACGTGCGTAATTATCAAGGATTGTGTCGCGTTCCAGCATGAAGGCCGTCATGTTGCTGTTGCCACTGCTGGCCCTCGCGTGCTTGGCGCACGCGCTGCCCGTGGAACCAGACGTGCTCTCTTCCGCGGACGACGTGCACGCGAACGGCGCGGCAGAGCCACACGTGGTGGAGGCGGACGCGGATTCGGTCCTCGCGGTGGACACCCCGGCGTCTGACAAGTTGGTAAGTTTTCCTTCGGGGGACAAAGAGATGTTGCTCAAAGAAGGGATCGGTTTGGCACATTGGAAAACAAATAAATGTTCGTGATGGCGCTCCAAAAGAAGTGTCGAAGGCATTTACAAGTGAGCCAACTGCAAAAGAACGCATTAACGAATAGAGAGTACAAACTGAACCTGCAGATATGTTCCCAGAAGCACCCAAGCAGAAGCTCTCAACATTGGTCGTATCACATGTGGCTTTCTTCGCAGAAGTCTCCTGCTATCCTGGTACAGACTGAGGTAGCAGATGTCACTAGTGACTCTAACGAAAGGTACTAAGGTTCTTGTCCCGTTCAGTGGAGAATTTTCGATAGTCATGTCGATAGTCCAGATAGTCAAGTCGTATTACGATCTGTAAGAAAATTACAGCGGCGATTGCTTTTATATCGTTTATTAATTATTGTTTCATTAATTTATTCGTTTATTAATTTATCCGTTTATTCGTTTATGCCGTTTCTTTATTCTTTATCATTTATCGTATCTTTATTCATCTTATTCGTTTATTCATTTACTCGTTTATTCATGTATTCCTTTATTCATTTATTCGTTTATTCATTTATTCGTTTATTCATTTATTCGCTTATTCATTTATTCGTTTATTCGTTTATTCATTTACTCGTTTCTTCATGTATTCCTTTATTCATTTATTCGTTTATTCCTTTATTCACTTATCCATTTATTCGCTTATTCCTTTATTCACTTATCCATTTATTCGTTTATCCATTTATTCGTTTACACAATTATTCGTTTATGCACTTATGCATATGTTCATTTATCCATTTATACATTTGTGTGTTTCCTTGTGCGGCGCAGGTGCGCGATCGCCGCTCCCCGTTCCAGCCGCGCCCTCAGCCTCAGGGGCAACGCCAGGGGCAGGGCCAGGGCCAAGGCCAGGGGCAGGAGGGGAGGGGCACGGTGTCGGGGGGCGTGCACCGGGAGCGCGGCGTGGGCACGGTGGTGCACGCGCAGGGTGAGGGCACCGTCTGGCGCAGCAGGGACGGCCGCACCAGCGTCGACGCGCACGGCCAGTACGAGCGCGTGGTGCGCGGCCCGGCCAGGGGCCGCCCCAACTACAACGTGGGCGTGCGCTTCCAGCACCGCTTCTGACGCCACCACACCACTTCCCACATCCACGCACCTAGCAGCGGCTTTCGAAGCTGATGTCTCAAGCTAGATCATCGATGGATTTAATGCAGATGTTTGAGACGATGTTTAACTCCCGTGTTTTATGTTAGATGTAATTTATATTAATTTAAATTTCAATAAATATTTCTATTAAAAAACCTGTAATAATTTTCCAATATCCTCTTTTCCCAAAGCAATTCTCGTAAACGCAAAAGTTATCCGAGAAAAAATGGCTTAAATATCGTGCTTTTGCAGAAGCGCTCAATATAATGTTTCTTAAAAACGGCTCCAAAGATTTTAACAAAAATGTACAAAGGACCTGGAATTTAGGTATACCTTGTGTAAACGATTCTCTAATTTCTTATGAAATCTATTCTTAAGATAGTATTTCAATTCTATCATTAGGGAATTGAAAGATTGATTATTTTAATGGTCAGTAAGCCCAAATAAAGGACATTAGGGA